CAAATCAGATTGCCGAACAGGAGTCAGTGTTTACTTGATATTGCTCAATGTTTACTTGATATTAGATGACAGACATTTATTAAACTTAGGCAGAATTATAAAAGCTATTTCAAGAATGGATATTAGGTTGCGAATGTAGCAGAATAAAGTGCATTATGCGGTGGCTTATTGGTTCTTTTTAAAAAAAAATATACGGGCTTTATCAAAGAACTGGTTTAAATTGCCCCAAAATGATATACTACGCAAAGATGTGCGCTCTGTGTGAATAGCTTAAATCACAAACTGGATTCATTAAAAAGTTGTCATTTGAGAGGTACTAGAATGTTGAAGTATGCGAGCTCTTTAGGTATATATTATATACTGCAAAGGACTATACAGTTAAGCCACATACGCTTGGAGTAGCTTATCAAAGACCAGCACAGGAGTTTTTTTAGCAAGGTAGGCATCATTCGGCCTTGTACTAAACACAAAAATGTGAATAAATGAAGCGCAGAGAGCTTGAGCTTTAGAAAAAAAAGCTGGACGTACGGGACTTTATGCAAATCGTCGGTGGTGATGCAGGCGGAAACAAAGCTTCCGTTGGTTCGACGTTTGTCTGGGATAAACAGCTCGTGAAAAAACGGATCGGACAGAAGTGCTTTGCCGCAAAGTCGCTTTTTGGGACTATAGACGAGAATTCGTTGAAGGATATCAATAATCTCGGGGGATGCATTTGGCAGGAAGAACTCGAAACCGCGCGGAGCAACACGACCGCCAGCGAATCGCGTGTTTGCTTTCATATCCAGAAGTTCATCATCATCCGGACTGCCCAGTGCATCGACAACCAACTTCAGCTGATGTTTCGCATCTCGACCGGCGAATAGTATACCGCCTTTCGTGATCTCACCCAACACACATCCAGCAGACCAGACATCTGCAGTCGAATGGCATTTTTGTGACTCTACGATCAAAACAGGTAGACTGCTGGAATTGGATGGACATGAAACTCCGTGAACTTACCAACTTGTGGTGAATAGAATGTCGCTTCAAGCAGTAATTCTGGCGGACGGTAAAAGCGTGTAACCTAAATATGTTTAAGCAGTTTGGAGCGAGCCTGAGAATAAATTGTTCTGTGTGCAAAACCCTCTAATTTACTTTCGTGTTACGGAAATTTTTAATTCGGTAGCTTTTAGGAGATAGGCTGTGCTGCAGACGAAATCCTCTTTTGCAAATATGGACCGTAAGGGAAACGAACAACTCGTCTTCACAGCCGGACACGACGTGCTAAACCACTGCACCACCGTTTCTTGTACTCGGGATCAGTCTGACAGCACTCCTTCCGTGGGCTTTCTATTACGGTAGCATGCAACTTTCCGCTTTTTCTTTGTCTTCCTATATGCAGTATATTTTTTCGTGGTGGCTGCTTCTTTATTGGCTTTTCGCAGGTTTTCCGGCGGTGCTCTTTTCATTAGGGGATGTGAGACATTTGTAGTTTCACAATATACTGTAGCAATTACGCGAACAGATTTCATGCGGACGATAAAATTTTTTAAGGAAAATCAAAAAAACGGCAGTACCTGATAAGAAGTTGATTTCGTTGTTTTCCGAATAATTTTGGCGGAACCGAAATCAGCAATTTTTAGTATGCCACTAATCGGCTCAATCAGTAAGTTTTGTGGCTTTATGTCACGATGGCATATATGACGCTGCAATTTTTTTAAATGTTTACAGCCAACTATTATTTAGCTTATGATTGCTGCAAGGCGAAAACACACGTGCACTAATGCATTTTGGGGAGTAAACCTGAAATACAAGCGGCTACAACGATTATTAATACTAAATTAGCGTGAGAGCTTACTTTAGATAGA